CGCCGCCCCTTCTTCACCACCTCCCATCGCCCCCCACCCGCCGTCCTGGCCGCCATGGCTCCGACCCTCCAGCCACTGTCAGCCACCTCCCCGGGCTTTCCCGTCGGTGTGCTCTCGCCGCGCTCTGCCACGTCTCCCCGCAGAGCCTCGCGGCGCGTGATGCCGCCGCAAGGCAGCCTGGGACTTGTAGTCTTTCGGTTTTGCCAGGTTATCGCTGGCGAGGGGTCCGGTGAGGGGCGGGGCTTCACTGCTGCAGCAAACTTCCCTGCAAAGGGGTTGATACGCGAGGCTGTCACATTCAGCAAACTGTTACGGAGCTCGTTCTGGGAGAAAGTCGCTGCATCAGGTGACTTGCAAATTTAACCGTTGCGTTTTTTCTTTGTCTTAGTGCTAGAAGGATGGAATGGAAATAGTTCTCTTCGCCTCCAGGCAGAGTTTGTAGATTAATGCTGCCTTCCTTCCAGGAAAGTGTGTGTTCTGTTGCTAGTGATTAAATTTTGAGTTTAATGGGCTATAAAAATCTATTGAAGGAACAAAGAAGAGGTTGGCGCTTGAGGGAAGAGGCCGGTTTTGGAGGGTGGAGAGTGGAGAGTTCTGATAGGAGGCAGAGAAAAGCCTGAGCACCTGGGACGGCCCGGGCCGGGTTTCCTGTTCCAGACAATAGGCAAGAAGCGGCTCCGGGCTGCCCCGAGTCCCAAGTCCCAGATGTGGCAGGGAAGTGATCAAAAGCCGCAGACCTGAGGAACCACTCAAACAGGTCACTGCTCTTTCACAATCCCTGGAGGCCTCCTACCAGTCTTGTAGTATCACGTGAGACCACAAAGCTTGAAGTGCCCCAGCAGGGGAGGATGAGGGAAGGCAAGTGAAAGTAACTTAGGCAATTAAGGAAATGTGCTATTTTTGTGTACATTCCCACATGTGAGGATGAGATTCATACCTGCCATACTGAGGTACAAGGCAGGCCAGCCCTTATAGTAAGAACTAATACAAGCCCAAATTCCTACCTGACAAACAGTCTAGGGAGTGATGAATTCCTTAGGAAGGAGATTAGAGAAGGCTTCCTGAAGATGAAATCTCAGATGGATCCTGAGGAATGGGAAAATTTTCACTGGTTGGGGATCAGGACAGATGGAGAGAACAGGCCTGTTGTATGGATTTACTGATTTAAGCAAAGGCCTAGAGGTGGGACAGTGCAGGGCAAGGCTGGGAAACTGGAAGCGGTTTAGTGTGACAGTTCTTAATGGGATTTTGGAGGTGATGAGATTGAAGAGGGTCTGAGCCCATATGCCATGGGTCTTGCCTGCCCGTGGGAAAGTGGCATGGTCCACTGTTTCAGAAAGGTGAGTGAAGATATGTGAAGGATGCATTGGGGTGGGAGAAAGGCAGGAGGTGGGAGATAATCAGCTCTTGCTGCCTCTTTCTGCCTGTCCCCCAGCCCCTTCAGGCCTGATCACGGCCTACTTTGCCTCAGGATCATATCTGAGCTGATCATTAATCAATTCATAAATCAGATAATTGGTTTAGCTCTACTCAGAGTCCAACAACAATATCCCCTCTTTGCTTGACCCCTTGTGTCACATGTATGGTCACAGAAGAGACACTGTTTTGGAAAGAGAAAGAGAATGGGCTTTCCATAGAGGCCAAGGAGGGAGAGAAATATAGAATAATGGGGGATGAGGTCTTTCCTTAGAATAGTCTGGCAGGTCATCTGTAGTAACTTGGCATACAGGAGGCATAAGTCATGACTTACTTATCCAGCAGTATTTCCAAAGCACCTGTTCTACCTAAGACCTAGCATTATGCTGGGTGGAGCAGGAGGATGCCCTTCACTTGCTTGTGAGGAATTCAAAGACTGTGTAGGAGACAAATGTGTAAACAGAAAATGACAGTTCATCATCTGAAGTGCTTCATAGAGGCACACTTAGTATGAGGTCCTGGGAAGAGGGAAGGGAGGGGAAGGTGGTTTCGGTATTTGAAGAGCAGCCTTAGACACCAGCCATGGAGGTGGGCTTGAGCAGGTACCTACATGGGGTTTGAGGGAAGAATCAAAAGGTGTTGGGTCAAGGGAGGCAGGTAGGTGTTTAGTGGCTATAAGAAGAGGGGTGAGCTTATGGAAGCACAGTTAGGCCCACTGCATTTTTCTATTGCTGCTATAACAAATTACCACAAACTTAGAAGCTTAAAACAGTACAAATTATCTTACAGCTCTGGAAGGTTGGAGTCTGACATGAGTCTCAATGGGCTAAAATAGGTGTCTGCAGGTTGTTTTCTGGAGGCTCTAGGGGAGACTATTTCGTTCTTTCCCAGCATCAAGGCTGCCCACATTCCTTGGCTCATGGCCCCCTTCCATCTTCAAAGCCAGCAACATTGGGTCAAGTCCTTCTTACATTGTATCACTCTGACCTCTTCTGCAGTCCCTTCCATTTTTTAAAATTTTTTATTTTATTTTTTTATTTTTTTGTCCCTTCCATTTTTATGGACCCTTGTGATTACATTAGGCCCACCTGGATAATCCAGGATACTCTCCTTATTTTAAGGTCAACTGATTAGCAACTTAATTCCATCTACAACCTTAATTCCCCTTTGCTATGTAACCTAACATATTCACAAGTTCTGGGAATTATGATGTGGACATCTTTGGGGGGAGACATTGTTGTGCCTACCACACCTGCTTTATCAGCAGGGTGAGGTCTTGGCTTGAAGATGAACATTGGGCAATGCAGAACACCTACCTTATCCTATATTATCTACCTAGGATAATGGCGAAAAAGCCTTTTAAAATTAGGCAAGGGATTTAAAAATCATCAAGATCAATAAAAGCAGGCAAGGAACTTGTTGGAGGGAAAAAAGAGAGGTAAAGTCAGAAGCATCTATGTGGGGTGGGAGTCAACAGGAGGAGAAGTAAATGAGGAATGCACAGGCAGGAATTGTTATCTAGGCTTCTATCTGGAGCCACTACAGAAATGGTGGTGGTCTGGAAGAAGGATCATGGAGCAGGGCTGCAGAAGAACAGCCCCAACTGTATCTCGGTCATACTCAGGATGGTGAAGAAACAGCTACCAGGACTGGCCTAAACCTGGAGGAACATTCTGGAGATACCTCTGTGGTCTTTGGGGATGAGTCAGGAGGAGTGAATTCTAGACCAGGTTTTTACCACCTTGAGTAGGTCATGTCACGTGGGCCCTGGTCCCTTTATCAGTAAATGAGGGTGCTGTCTACGTGACAGCCAAGGCTTTGTTTGCATGGGCCTGGTAGCTCTCGTTGGGCCTCCAGGACATTGGTTGTTATGGCCCTTTGCTGGGGCACACACCAGGAATGCAGGGCTGTGTGGATGATGTAGAAGCTTCCTGATCCTGGTTCCCACGAGACCTCGTTTTATAGAGGGAACCACATGGGCGCTGCTGTCCTCTGGGCTTCAGTGCTCAGAGTCACTAACTCTTTGAAACCCACTCAGCTTTCTCTGCCAAATGAGTCCTTGTCCCTGGCTGGATCACTGTTATGAGGTATGTGAGCTTTGACAAGGGGTGGGGACAACATGCAGTCTAACTGGCCCAAAGGAGACTGAAACAAAGCACCCCTTGGTCAGGCCTCCCTGTTACCCGCCCTTCCCCCGCAGCATTTTACTGGGCTGCCTATTGTCACTGCCATGGCCCCAAACCTTGTTCTTCCTGAGGGATTGGGGGTGGGCATCCATGCCTTCCCTGAGAACCCTGGCACCAGTGTTAAGAGATGGGGGCTGGGTCAGAGCTGGGCTCAGGCCAAGCGCTAATGGTGGTTTATTGGCATGAGGGAAGGTGGCAGTGGGGCTGTGCTCCTGGGCCATCGCTGTGGAGAGGGGAGCACTCAGGAGGAGCAAAGCACTGAGACCCAGACTATGGCTCCGTTGAGGCAGACATGGCACGGACTTTTACCACACAAGTTTATTTAAATAAAAGTGAACACATACGCAGGCTGGGTGGCCTGAGGAGGCAGGGGTGGGGGAGGCAGGTGGATGGGAGGCAGACGTACAGGAGGATCTGGGCAGAGTCTGTGTGGTATGAACCAAGCTGCAGAGGGAGTGGCTGGGGGCCTCGGGGCAGTGCTGGGCTTTGGGGCTGGGGGAACGGGGCCCATGGTGGGTGAGTCTGGTGCCAGGAGGTCATTTTCATCCCTCGCATGCTCCCCTCCCTCTCCCTGACC